TAGAATATGATAGAGATACATAGACAGATAGATAGATAGATAGATAGATAGATAGATAGATAGATAGATAGATAGATAGATAGATAGATATTGAAGGAAAAAAGATAGATATAGAGCGGGATAGGGAGAGAGAAAAAGAAAGAAAGAGAAAGAAAGAAAGAAAGAAAGAAAGAAAGAAAGAAAGAAAGAAAGAAAGAAAGAAAGAAAGAAAGAAAGAAAGAAAGAAAGAAAGAAAGAAAATATCACATCTGCCCTAATTGCAACAAAGCCGAAACTGGTTTAAGGGCAGCAGACGATAGAGATAGATAGATGATAGATAGATAGATAGATAGATAGATAGATAGATAGATAGATAGATAGATAGATAGATAGATAGATAGATAGATAGATAGATAGAGATAGATAGATCTAAAGACAAAAATATAACTAGATTTAAGATACAGAGAGAGAGAACAAGAAAGGAAAGAAAAGAAAAGAATAGGTTGAGGAAAATAAATAGAATGAATATTATAGAATATGATAGAGATACATAGACAGATAGATAGATAGATAGATAGATAGATAGATAGATAGATAGATAGATAGATAGATAGATAGATATTGAAGGAAAAAAGATAGATATAGAGAGGGATAGGGAGAGAGAAAAAGAAAGAAAGAGAAAGAAAGAAAGAAAGAAAGAAAGAAAGAAAGAAAGAAAGAAAGAAAGAAAGAAAGAAAGAAAGAAAGAAAGAAAGAAAGAAAGAAAGAAAGAAAGGCTAAAGTAAAGAGATAAAATAAGTATTTTAGACAGAAAGGTAAAAGTAAAGAAGAGATATAAATAGATTTTAGATGGAGAGAGAAGAGCGGGAGAAGAAGGACAGAAAGAAAGATTATCTACATAGACCGATCCAGATATCAGGGACACAGACAATGGGAAACATTTGGTGTGTTATTATTTTAGGAAATCTTCAATTATTCTTTTTCATTCCATCACTCTGTATAAAGATTTCGTTATGAAAACATAGCACAATGATGTGATAGACGCCGTGGAGACTGACCATCCTGAGGTAAGTAGTACCCCCTCCATGTACCTGGCCACCCCGGATTGTGCCACCATGTTGTGTTTTGTATTTTTTTTTACCTCTGCCATGTGAATGTTCAGATTGTGTTACTTCGCCACCCTGATGATCGTTATACTTCACTTGACGGGAAAATAAAGAAATGAGGAAGTATGATATCATCGCTGATCATGATGACACTATTTATTAATCCGATGTACACAGCTCATTACCGATCACTTTGTGTTATCAGAACGAAAAAATAAATACCATGGAGCTTTCATGGCAGTCTCTAATAATAAACATCCATGTCATGTGTATTGTACATCATCTTTCTGTGTGTTCAGTATTTCCACTCTCCTTCTACAGATCTATACACAGAGCTGTGATCAGTAAATTCGTGAGCTTCCTATTATTCCTGACATCCCCATATGTTACATGAATCAGTCTGGAGACAACAATGTCACCATTTATGTCAACACTCCCTTCACAAATGTAAAAAGAAGGGGATACTCCTTCAGGTGTAGTGGGCGAGGCTATGCAAATGATTACCCTATTATTATTTTACTATTGGCCAACTGTGCTACAGCTCCAACAATTACACATACATTAAATCTGCTGCTTAGATCTGTTTTTATTCACATTATATTATTACTTTTAAAGTTTTTAATCTTTTCTACAACTGTTCTGGAAACACCATCAATTATGTATTTATAATATATTTAGAATCACCCCTCATAAGAGATAACATTTAACAAGAACTTGTGAATTTATTTTGTTAAAGTTTATGAACCTCGGATGAAAGTCTGTCCTTTCATCCCCCCGGACCAATAAACATTTCGTTCCTCGAATTAATTTTAAAACAAATTACAGGACTGACATAGTAAAAGTTCTAAGAGTAGGATTTGTTTGCGGCATTTGCTGAAAGTAACAATAGCAGGGTCCAGTATAAATCTTTTATAGACATTGTGATATGAAGGAGCAGCTTTGGGGTGCAGGAGGGAATGGAGAGGACAGGACAGGAGGGCTGCCAATTACCAGGCTGCTGATTAGGCTCTGTCCCTGCTGCTCGGAGCCCAGCTCTGGAGGGGCTGCCAGGTGGCTGGAAGGACAAGATCACCCCATGAACCGGAGCACATCTAAGAAGAGCGCAGAAAGGGGCCACAAATCCAATGCTACCCCCCTCCTCCGCCCTGATTTATTCCAGACAGACAGACAGACAGACAGAACTCCAGCCCAATGCCTGCTGTCTGCTGTGTAGGTTTGGAGCCGGAGAAGTAGAAGAATGTAAAATTCAGTCCGAATGACATTTAGGGGTCTAGCAATAAATGTTTTCACACAATTTACACCCAGGATTTATATCTTTATTAAATCGAATCCAATTAGAAAAACGTGTGAATCCGTGGTAAAGTTGTGTGAAAACATTTATAAATAGACTTTAGTGTGCATTAAAAGTGGTAATTTTATTAATGCAAATTAAATTCTTGCTTTTACCAGTTTCATCCTTTGTTACAGCTCGGCGATGTGGATCTCCTACATCCTATTTACAGCCACTACCTATACACCAGTAATGGCTGCAGAGCATTTCTCAGGTAATCTCGGTTACGTTGTCTCCATCAGAAGCCTGTGAGAGGGTGACAACACAGGAGCAGAGCTGGGAGATAGTAATGTTGTCACCTATGGAGGTTCCTGAACAAGGATCGTCGGGTATATTTTTTTTCCTTAGTTTTTTTTAAAGTTCTAATTCGATATATTAAATAATTGACATAAATATATTTACAATAAATTGAAAATGCCTTTTATAATGGACATCGCTTACGTGAGATTTGGTTACATCTACTTTAAATGAAGGTAGAAGCCAGCACCAGACTCGAGATGTGGTAACGTTCGTTATCCAGAAGGCTGGCTATAGGAATCACTGTTGTCCTGGGTAAACACCAATCAGTACAGAACAGGAAATGGAGAATATCTATGTGGTCCGATAGCAGCAAGGCTGTCCCGTATTTTAACCCCTTACTAAATAGCACCCGATCAACAAGTGAATGAAAGTAACCGAGACAGTTCACTATCGTCCCCTTGGAAAAGCATTTCCAGCAGAATTCTCATTTATGTTGAGATCTGGCTGAGGTGCATTTTATCAAATAGGACATGAGCATGGGGTTGCCACCTTTTCTTCAAGCGAAAGCCGAACACTCCAGCAACGCACGGTCATTTTTGTGGGAGAATGAGTCGCGGCGTGTTCAAATGTAAAAAGTGCCTCCCATTCATATGTAAATATCACAGCAGAGACTATTTTCAGTGGGGGGCCAGTAGCCCCTATCTTAATTTTGGTTGCCCCTGTCTGCCTGACATCTTGTGTCCGGGTATCTGCTGCCATGAAACCTGAACACAGCATTCAAAACCCGAACTGTCCAGGTGAATCCTGGACAGATGGCAACCCTACATGAGCATTTGTGAGCGTTTAGGAGCCGATTAAATAAACATAAAATCAGGATCGGATTTGTGTTTTCATCATATCTACATCCAGGAAACCCGACCATGAACAAAACACACACAGAAATGTATCGGGAGAGTCAAACGTTTCCTACACAGGGCTGTGTAATAAAAAGAACAATGATCTACAAATAGGGGTGAGCGATCTACAACTGGATTTCTCTCTTCCTGTAGTAAGAATAGTAAATAGGGTTCATTAAGACCCAATCAGAAATCAGGACTTCGGACTCAGAATGAAGGGGGAAAGAAAAAACAAAACATTTGGGATTGGTTGACAAACCCATTTCATTGTAATGAAGCTTGTTCGTGGTTATGGGAACACACAAGGATGATTTGGATCCTCAGCAAACTATTTTGAGAGAACAAACGTTCTTAAACACCCCTAATTTTATATGTTAAAAAAAAAAGCAAACAGTAACAAAGTTTTATGTATCAAATAATTCTGATTCTTTAGTTTAGATTGAACATTGGATAGCTTGTTACACTGCTGAGCCAGAAGGAAAGATCATCATTATAGTATTATATTCATTACAAGTCACTCCCAACTAACTATAAAAGGGAGTCCACAGGATTCAAAAGTGTATTACTTTAAAAAAGTGTGAAACCACACATATAGTAAATGTCACACACACACACACACCCCTTTGTCCTGTTTCTTATATATATGCTTCACCCTGCTGTTTGCCTATATATGAATATGATTCTCCCCCTCCCCTTATCTCTAGGTTGAACTTGATGGACTTGTGTCTTTTCAGTCTGAATTCCAATCCTTTTCAACCCAATTGAGGTGCAAAATCCAGACTGATGCACAGACCAGCTGAATAGATTGAACTCTAGTATGGACTTGTGTCTTTTTTTCCAACCTGACCAACTATGCAACTATTCCTGGTCATAACATCACAATATTTGAATACGGATTTTTCAGGAGTCTATTTACTAAAAGGAAAAAAAAAAAAAGGGACTGTAAAACATTCACAGGGTTAGGTGAATATGAACATATCTTCTAAATGAAAAGTAAATCAATTGAAGCGGTGTTCACTTTGAATGCCCAATCAAGTGCAAGGGAACAAAAACAAAAATAAATACAAAATGTAAGTGTGATTTCTTTTTGTGATGCGATTGGATAATTGAAGTGATTTTTACTTTGCTAAGTGAACAGCCTCTGACCCTCATAAATACTCACACCATGGAGATGATTTACTAAGTACTTTAGCCAGCAAGAAAAAAATGACACAGAGACTACAGATCCATTAGTCTGATGTTTTATTATTAGGGGAAGAGGGGGTATGCAGATACGTAGGGGTGATGTGAAGTACCATTTTTTTTCAGTTTTACAAACATTTGGTTTTCTTCCACTTACACAGGGACAAACAGATCCGAATCTTCAGTGACACAAATGAGGCAAGTGCTGGATGGAGACATCGATTAAATAGTGAGGCCAATTCAACTAAAGAGGCGGTACAACCATTACTGGTGTGCTTGGGCCTCATCTCACAAGACCTGGAACCTCCAGGATGCCTGATCTTTGTAGTCCAGACAGTCGGTGGAGTTAAAGTTAAGTTTCCATGAGGAAGCGGCTGTCTGGTCCTTGTAGTCCAGGCAGTCAGAGGAGTTGAATGGTAGTCCTGTGCTGGCATAGCCCTGGTGATGGTGGTGGCTGGAGGACTGGCTCAGGTGGTGGTGGTGATGGTGGTGGCCGGACATGGAGGATGGTGCCATAGGTAGAGGTGGGGGTGGTGGTGAGAGTGCATTGGTGCCAGGTAGGAACTACAAAAGGTGCCATAGGGCTGAGCTGGTGGGGGTGGTGGTGAGAGTGCATTGGTGCCAGGTAGGAACTACAATCCACTCCTCCAAAGTAAGAGGAAGATGGGGCAGGGTAGCCCTGGGTATAACCAGCAGCTTGACTGTAGGACATTGGATAAGAAGCTGCAGAAGAAGAGCCAGAGCGCTGCATGCAGGAGGCGCTTCCAGGTCCTAGTGGGTCAGGTGCGGAGCCAGGAGCAGGACCAGTGCCTGGGGAAATAGAGGCAGGGCTCCAGATGGAGGAGGCTATAGGAGTACTTCCATTCAGTGCTGCTCCTAGGCTGGGGTTCCCAGAAGAGTTGGAGCTGGAAGATGAGGAGGAGGATAAAGAGCCGGAGCTGGACACTGCAGGTGGAGTGAACTGACCACTGCTCTCTGATCCGGAGCTCTCCCGGGCTGGGCTGCACTTCTTCTTGGCAGGCCGGCTCTTTGCCCCTGCCCTGCTGTTCTGCTGTTGCTGCTGCTGACGGCATTTGGCTCGTCGGTTCTTAAACCAGACCTGGAGTGTACAGAGGAATGACATTACTAATTAGACTTATTGCCATGTGATACTACTGCAAATATTGGAACATGACAGCAATACAAGGTTTAGTATTATAAACCACTGGCATATCACTCATAATAAACTGTCACTACCGGTATAAAGTTCTATTCTTAGGTTAAAACATTTATTGGAAGCAAAACTTGGGAGGGCCTTAAAAGAACATTACAGTATCATCGTGTTACTACAAGGAAGATTATAAAACAGACAAATACAATTATAACACACATGAATATTACTCAAAATGATCATTAATCCTCACTGCCAGTGTGTTCATCTGTCAACGTTTCTTGGAAAGGACAAAAAAAGTTGGAAGTCTAATTCTCCTTACTAGGAACAGAAGAACATATCAGAACTACATGGAAGATTACATACAGAGGAATAAGAAGCGTATTTTAACCCACAGGGATATTATTAATCCATACTGTCACTGTGCACTAGTCCTCCATCATAAAGTCTCTGGGAAGTAACAGAACTGGCAACACTAATGCCCCTTTATAGGAATGGAATGTCACAACCCTGAACAGAATATTCCTACAAGCAATAATATAAAAACAGAGACATAAGGGTTCAAGGGAACATTTTCAAGGTTATTCACAAAAGGGGGAAGACTTTGGAGAAGTCAGGAGAAGTGGACAATCTAGGACAACATAGCTGAACTGGAAAGTGAGATGAATTGGAGAATTCTTCCAAATCAGCTATTTTGCCTTCTCCAAACTCTTCACCCTTTAGTGAATTGCCCTGATATATGTTCTGATCAGCCTAACCCTGGAAGAGAGAAATCATCACTTCATATCAACTTTTGAATAACCAGGGAGACTTATAATATACCAATTAAAAAATAACTGGCACCCATCATTTAAAAAAAAAAAAAAGGATCACCCAGTGGAGAAATATAACACACTAACAGTACCTGCACTGAGCCATCGTGAAAGTTTACAGGGAATAATTTTAGGTTGGTGTAAAATGAACTAGCAACTTAATTATAAAATTTAATACATATCCTCTGTAAGGAAGATAAGGCCTACACCTTTCCCAGCAATCATATTACTGTCATTAGTCGAAGTACCAATAACACAGCTAAGTGGAATAAGGATGTGTTCTCGTGAGTTGCAAGAATTACACGGCTATAAGAGTTCATCAAGTTCATCACATGATATAAACTAATTCTGATGAAAATATTTGTAAGTGGGAAGTAAAAAAACAAAAACAAAAAGTCCAATATTTCTAACCAATAGAACACACAGGTCCCAACACACAGAGGTACATAATACACAATTCACATTTATGTGTATACTATATTTTGATCGCCACTGAGGGAGATACCAAACAACCAGCACCATACTATGTCTGCTCACTCACAGTAACCACAATCTCTGGAAGAATGGAGGAGAGAAGCATCCCAGGCTGCTGATGACCCCAGAACTGTTTCATATACTAGGACCCTGCTCACAGCTCACAGCACTTTTCCTCTATTACCATCTCATCACATCTGTATTTTAAATCTAAAATTACATTTAATAGTCATTTCAAGTTTCCAACACCAAGAAATGAACCTTAAAGGACAATTCCACAACAACATGTCTAAACTGATAACATAACCCCAACTTAACACGAGCGTGTCAATGTTTGCATCTTATTAATTCCCTATATTTTCTCTGTAAAAGTTTCACGTGGGAACTTGTGATGCAGTAAAAAAAAAAAATATATAATAAAAAAAGTGCAACATCTCCTTTTGAAGGCCCAGGATTACACCAAGCATAGAATTATTATCACGAAACGTTAGGTAGTCATTACAACATTGCCATGATTATCTGTAAGGTACATTTTGCTGGTTTAGTTTTACCAAATGTCAGCTTTATACATATCCCAAACTGTCAGAAACAATATTTCCTTTATAGATGAAAAAGAACAAATCCCAAGCATAGGGAGAAACATGTGAAAAGTGGAGATGCAATTCCCCACAATATTACAGCCAGTAGCCGTGGCATTGGAT